AATCCTCCTCTCCTCTCCTCCATTATTGGGGGGACAAAAAAAGCAGATGGTCAGAAAAAGATTCAGCAATACAACAAGATCTTCTGAAACATTTCTTCTTTGCAGAGGATTAGCCTTTCCACAAGCTCATCTGCAGGACTTAGAATCACTGGCAAACAGGAACATATGAGGGTGATGAGAAATAAAACTATTTCCAAATGCATGGTTTTAAAATGGAAAAATGTCTCTCTACTTTGTTAGTCATAAAATCCATGCAGCTTCTCCACGCTGTGCATCTGAATGAGCATGGGGAACAGAACAATTGTCATTGAAACATGCCAAATTAATTCCACTCCAGAATTTTGTTTCTTGAAGCTAGAAACTAGGTGGGGGATGTTTACAAATCTTATTTCCTTGATTTTTGTTGGTGTTGCATTTCCCAGACAAACAGTAATAGCACAGGACTCTATTTTCCAAGTGCCTAGTGAAGGAGAAGAACTAGTCTAGCTTTTTTGTCCTGACAAAGCAGAGTTCAATAGGTGAATAACTGGCATAAATAAATGCAAGATAGTTTTTTACATTTTTCAGGATTAATGGTTACAAGGTGTTGGAACACTAGTAAAACAATGTAAGAGTCTATTTAGATAATGCATCTTTATGTACTTAAATTTAAATTAAATGTAATAGTGGATATTAGTATTCCTCTCTTTCCTCCCCAGTCCTGTAAAATCCACACATACAGTCCTGGCTTAGAAGCAAGATACATACTTTGGATATCTTTCAGCCCATAAGGACCCACAAGATGTGTGCAAGATTTCCTTGACAGCAATTGTTTCCAAAAGAACTGTGATAGACCTGTACGCACAACAATTATGGAGTGACTAGTGCATTGCTCCCTCTTGATAGCTGCCACTGACTGGGACAGTAAAAGAAGTCAGAATTTTTTCCTGAAAACAACTGTAGTTTTCATTTCAGGGCAAGGAGAGACAGACTTGTCTGACAAATTATGACTGTTTCTATGTAGGGAGTTTAGCCTGCCCCAGAAGAGCAAAGCGGGCCTAAATCACCTTATATCAACATGTAAAAGTCCAGCTTAAAACTTGAAATCCAGATTTAGAGCTCCTGCTTGTTAAGAATACTGTGCTGGCACACAGAGGTACCATACTGGTACTCCAAACTGCGCACAACTTGACTTCTGAGCTGCGGTGTCTTCTAGTTACACTGATTAAACAATAAAAGCCAAGAAACCAAACTTACGCACGTGATTAATCTTTCTACTTCTCCCTCTTCATTTCAGTCAACCTTATACATGAACTAAGTCTAACTGACAAATTTTGCAAGGATCTGCAGATTTTTTCCCACTTCAGTATCTCTACCTTTGTAACCTCCTACTCAAAAGTATACCTCAAATCTACAGTGCTTTCCTTCTAAAAGCTCCCTCTCTTGTAAGGTCTCAGGAAACATAACAGCAATTCATCACTTAGTCTCACTGCTCTTGAACATAAACCTCCTGCAGGTAGTAAGAGAACCAGGAAGCTTATTTTCCCAAACACCTAGTGGCATCATACCATGAACATTCCCAATGAGCCTTAAGACCACATTATCTAATATATACTACCACAGATGGAAACACACATTTTCTACAAGTTTATTTTACTTTCAAAAAGTCAACAGAAGAAATGGCTTGAAGTGGTTAAAAAAGCCAGTGAAATATAAATATTTTTCCTCTGCTGCTTAGCAAAGGTAGTGTAAGTTGCTTGGGCTTAGTACAGACTCTTTAGTACAAACTCTTTATGTGTTAACAATGTTCATGTCACTGCTGGGGAGGCAAGGAATCAGCTGCCATGGATGAACTTTTTAATGGTACAAGCCCAAGTCTAGCATGCCTGAAAACACTGCGAGATTGTAAGCATTATGGTGCATCCATGTATGGATAGCTTTATTCATCCTCCGAGTTTATTGCCCCCACCCTGCCCTCCAGCTCTCTTTCAGGTTCATGACTCAGAATGCTAATTGCCCAGTTTTTGTTTAGGGCTGGCTGACTGGCTGTCAAGCCAATTCTATTGCCATTTGACAAATGAGCTCTTTTGCCTCCCTGCAAAGGCTGTAAGGAAGGTCACGAGACTGTATAGCATGCTTTTTTTCTTCTTTACAACAAAGTTTAAAGGGGAAAATTCAAGCCAACTTAGCAAAAAAGAGAAACTAGCCACCAAACCCACAAATCTACCCTAAACTGTTTTTAACCAGCAGCAAATGAGACTCCTGTAAAACGTGGATTATTTCTTTACACTCTGCATTTTTAACGTGGCCTGGCACACTATCTTTTTTTATCTTAAAAAGATTCTGTGAAGCAACAAAAGTATATACAAGTTGATAGCCAGATTATAAAACACCACAGCTGGATATAAAGCCACACGATTCAATATAGAAGTAAAATCAAAACCCTCCCCACCACCAAATCAGTTTACAGTAGAGGAGTCCTTAGGAAGACCCAATCCTGCAAAAAAAAACAACCTTACAAATTTCTGTTTACACATTATACAACAGCAGCACCAAGTTCAACTTTGATAAAGACTTAGTTCATTAGGACAGCAGCAGTCTTCACAGATTGGTTGAGGTTGGAAGGGACCTCTGAAGGTCATCTGGTCACCTAGACCTGGCTGCCTAGGACCACGTCTGGACTGCTTTTGAATATCCCCAAAGAGGGAAATTCTACATCATCTCTGGGCAAACTGTGCCAGTGCTCGGTCACCCTCACAGTAAATGAAGCGCTTCCTGATGTTCAGAGGAAGCCTCCTGAGTTTCACTTTGTGCTCATTGCCTCTGTCACTGAGTACCACTGAAAACAGCCTGGCTGCATCCTCTTTACACTCTCCCTTCAGGTATTATATACACATTAAGATTCTCCCAAGTTCGCTCTTCTCCAGGCTGAACAGTCCTAGCTCTCTCAGCCCTTCCTTGCAGGAGAGATGCTCCAGCCTCTTAATCATCTAGGCAGCCCTTTGCTGGACTCTCCAGTATGTCAGTGTCTCTCTTGTACTGGGGAGCTCAGAACGGGCCTCGGTGTGGCCTCACCAGTGTTGAGTCCTGGGGAAGAATCCCCTCCCTCATTCTGCTGGCAACACTCCTAATACAGCCCAGGACACCGTTAGCTTTCTTTGTCACAAGGGCACAGTGCTCACGTTTAACATGGTGTACACCAAGACCCCTCGGTCCTTCTCCGCAAAGCTGCTTTGATGTCTTACCGTATAGCATTACAACAGCCCATAATGCCTAAGGTATATCTAGGATTTTATTAATTTCTACAGAAAAGCCTATTACATATAGAGCCTAATCTAATGTATATTAAACTGCTCTAGGTGGTTTTATTTGTCTGTCTTAAAAACAACACACCATTTTCTCCCACTTTCAGGACCTGAATAAAAATGGTTTAAGAGGACTTGGTAACAGATGTCCAAATCTCAAGGAAAAACATGAGCTTTGGCTTCTGATCATTAGCAATGATGAACTGAATATCTTTTTCCTAGAAAGGGAAGGGTGTGCCTTCCTATACAGAAAATATATAAAACCTAACAAGCCATTATTCTGCCAAAACACCCTACAGCTGTAGGACTGGTATATTTTAGACTTCAAACACTGGACTACAGCCGTTTTCCGTTTACCTGCTCATTCATTCTGAAGAGAAATCATCTGTGTTACCTACTGAAATGATACAAAAATGTTAAATTCTCTTCTAGAAAGCCACTCGAAAACAAAGTTCTTCTCTGGGGCTTCGAGAGGTATAAGCTCGGTGAATACGCTCAGAGTATTAAATAAAACATGTTTTTACATCTTTGTTGAGTGGAAAAAGTCACAGCACCTCTTTCCAAGCCTATTCAAGCCATCCAACATGAGTATCACATGGTATGTAAATATATATGTACATGTGTGTATATAGTATGAGTTAATTAATATCCCGCTACTATTTGTAATTAAATACATTCAAGGTACACACACAGAGCAATTAGAATCTAAGTTAACAACTCACTTCTGAACCAGCAAAATTTGTCCTGAATTTTTAAGTGGCAAAACTCCAGTGCTTCCAATGTGCTATTTGTTCTGCTGCAAGCACCACTTATTATGCCTTAAGTGAAAATCAACTTGTAACTTAGTGTTTTCCATTAAAAGAAAAGAAAAAAAAAAAAACATTATGCAACTGAATATTATAGCACCATTGTTATCAGCCAGGTTTTATTATTTTCAATCTTTTAAACAAAGAAGAAAAGGAAACTCTGGCTTTAATTTTAGCTGTTGTCTTTTAGTGAGCCAAACTCTTCTTCCAGTAACCCAACACATACAAAATTGTTTTGTATGTTACGTCTTGATATTTTACCTTCTTCCCAACTTCTGCAGCAAGCAAACTAAAAA